CATCGTGCCTCAAGTCTAAGGATTAATCATGTACTATTGTAACATGAAAATTCTTGTTCGACATGATAGACTTTCATTAAGAATTTTCATACAGTCATGTTCAGTGAACGTGTTCTCTAACAAGCACCCACATATATGTATTTGCGTCCCACGCTAATGTTGATGGAATGCAACATTCTTATCTAATAAGCATACATACTATGTGCAAGTCTTTTCCGGATTTATTCGATATCCCATCTCGAAACATCGAACGGCTTGAAACTGTATTTAAGGTCACAACTTTCAATATATGTTCCATGATCACCATCTCTATGCGCAACCATATCTTATAGCTATAAGTGATCTAGGGATTTTATCTTAAGTGCAAACATATGATAAATGCTTACTCTTAAAATAAAGTAATGCCTTATTATTTAATATAATTCCAATAGATTGTATTTACAAGTAGAATACTTCCAATTTGATTGGAACGCCGGGTATCCTACTCTAACACATACGACTCCAGCCTCTCATGCACCTCTAACTAAATTTAAAAAAATAGAACATCAAATTAAAGAAATCATCAGAAATAGTTAAGACTTAAAAAATAATTTCGAATATCACTTGCTAACGATTCCAATAATAACAAAAAAGGTTTAGGATCAAATAATACCTGTTGGTCAAAAAATATATTGGGAAGTGTGACCTTCCTCAGTTCCCAGTGAACCAGCCGTGGTGGACGTCTCACCGAGGTACATGCTCCACATGTACGACCTAATGCAGGGATTGCCTCATAGCACCATACTAGAAACGCCCAGTGAAATCCGTAGATATGATATTTCATTTTACTCTACTGGGTCGTCTTCAAGTAGTCGAGCAGGTACTGAAACGAGTAACTACCCCATGGGAATTTCTCCCACATCTGGTAGTCCTCGATCAAAGCCCACCAGCAGGTATCAATATACCGAGCCTTCTTGTCGTCATGAGGAATTATAAAGTACATGAGCATTAGCATCTTCGCCACTCTCACTATCACATCCCGAGAGTGGCGGAACTGCCCTACCTTGAAGTCATCACGCAACTGCTGCATAGTGACCCGCTTGCCTTTATATTTCTCATAGAAAATAGACGATGGAGGAGG